TGTGATCTTTTCCAAGCTCTTCCTCTGTTACCCTCTTTTCAGTCAGTATGTCCCTTTTCTATCCCAGACCATAATTTCACCATTTATCTTAAGGCTGAGCCCAGGGCCTATACCAGGTGTCCCCAAACTACGGCCCCCTGAGGCCATTTATCCGGCCCCCCACTGCACTTCAGGAAGGGGCACCTCTTTCATTGGTGGTCAGTGAGAGGAGCACAGTATGTGGCGGCCCTCCAACAGTCTGAGGGACAGTGAACTGGCCCCCTGTGTAAAAAGTCTGGGGACGCCTGGCCTATACTATTACGCAGGTTGTTTACTGCATACATCTAGGGGCACCATTTACACTTGTTATCTTTTTAGGTTTGAATATTTCTTATGACAGTTTTCCAGCAGATGGCAGTAACATCCATGAGGACAGTGTAGCTTCTAACATGCACAAAGGTGTTTTTTAAGACAGAGGTCTCTATCACCCAAGCTGGAGTGCAGTGGTGCGATCTCGACTCACTGCAACCTCCACCTCCCAGGTTCAAGCGATTCTCCTGCTTCAGCCTTCCAAGTAGCTGGGATTACAGGCGTGTGCCGCCATGCCCGGCTAATTTTTGTATTTTTAGTAGAGACTGGGTTTCGCCATGATGGCCAGGCTGGTCTCAAACTCCTGACCTCCAGTGATCTGCCTACCTTGGCCTCCCAAAGTGCTGCGATCACGGGCGTGAGCTGCTGCATTTAGACACCTGTCATCTTTATTCCCTGCCCCCTGCTCCCCACTTTTTTTTTTTTAAGAGACGAGGTTTCACCGTGTTAGGATGGTCTCGATCTTCTGACCTCGTGATCTGCCTTCCTTGGCCTCCCAAAGTGCTGGGATTACAGGCATGAGCCACCACACCCAGCCTTTATCCCTTTTCCTTCTCTGATACATCAAGGTCCTTTTCTCCCTGGGTCCCAGCCTTTTCCTATAAGCTTTCTCTTCCTGTCTTTCAAATATATTTAATTCATAGAAGAATTACAAGTGTGCTACAAGGAACTCCTGTATAACCTTAACCTAGTCTAGTTCACCAGCTGTTAACATTTGGCCACCACATGTGCTTTATCACTCCTTCCCTCTCATTGTAGATAGATGTTTTTTTCCTGAATCATTTGAGAGCTGATTGCAAACATTCTGCCTCTTTACACTTACTTTGGAGTGTGTTTCCTTTGAACAAAAACATTTTTGTTTGTTTTACATGAACAACAAAAGTTATTGTTAAGGAAATTTAACAGTAATTTAGGAAATTAAACATTGATAACAGTACTTTTATTAATTATATAGTCCACATTTAAATTTTGTCAGTTGTACCAATGATGTCTTTATAGCTGTAAACACCCCTTATCCAGAGTCTGGAATCACACTTTCTGCCTCATCCTGTCTCCATACTCTCCTTTAATCTGAGAATTAAAATTAAAAGAAGTAACTTCCTCAGCCTTTCTGTGTCTTTCATACCATTGATATTTTTGAAGACTACAGACCAGTTGTTCTGTAGAATATTTCTTAATCTGGGGTTGGTCTGGGTTGGTCTGGTGTTTTCTTATTAAATGCAGGTTACATGTTTTGGGTGGGAATACCATAGAAGTGATGTTGTGTCCTCCTCAGTGCATGCACTGTGGCCAGAGGCACATGGTACCGGTTTGTTCTACTACTGATGATGTCAGCCCTCTAAGTGTTCTTTGTTGAAACTTTTCTTGTAGTTATATGAACTCTTAACGTGTATATACTTGAACTCTGACTATAGGAATTCTCCTGCTTATAGGAATTCACTCTTAAGCAGGCAGCATTCTATTAAGTTCTTCTGTTCAGTCTCTTAGTTCAATCAGGTGAGCCTGAGTTGCCTCCCAATTCTTTGTCTCCTTTGCAGCATCACTATCTGGGACTCCTGGGTTCCCATCAGAAGTCACAATAGCTTTTCTTTCTCCTAGAAAGTTGCATCCCTTGCCAGACTCTTTGAATCAGTGATTACTTCTTATGTACAATCAGTATATTTTTATAGTGTTTTATTGGTTTCAAGTTAAGGTTCTTTGGCTCTAGGAAGGTTAGTCTTCAAATAAATGGTTTCAGAAGAGAGTTGTGTAGCTGAATGTGGCAAAGAACTGGGTACTCTCAAGTCAACTTGAATCATACCCAGGTTCATTTTATCCCAAATCACAGTCTTTTGAGCTAACCTTATTTGGATTAAAGTATTTACTGCATGTCATTTACAATGTCTTAGCCTTCTGTATTCCTTAAAACAACTCTAGGAAGTAGATTTTATTTTCTTCATTTTTCAGATGAGGAAATGGAGGCTTGGAAAGGTTAAAGTGATATGGTGAGAAATTACCAGGACTCAAACCCATGTCTCTCCAACTCCAAAGTCCTTGCTCTGTCTTGAGAGCAGAGAGTGGCTGGTAGCAAAGTCCTCTAGCTATTTGTGGTGAAGTTAGCCTTGGAAGACTGAAATGCAAAAGATAATATCGGCCAGGCGCAGTGGCTAAAGCCTGTAATCCCAACATTTTAAGAAGCCAAAGCGGGCAGATCACTTTAGGTCAAGAGTTGATACCAGCCTGGCCAATATGGTGAAACCCTGACTCTGTCTCCAAAAAAAAGTAATGTCATTGCTAGATTGGAGGTGATTGCCAGCAGCTACCACTCAGAGATTTCGAGGTGTCTTTAAACCAGGACCATCCTGGGCAACTGGATCTTACGGTTCAGGACATCCATCCAGCCTGGGACAATCTAAATACTTGTACTTAAACCCATTTCCTGACATAATTATTAATAGTGCCCCACTCACATTTTTTTTGAAACAGTATCTTATTCTGTCGCCCAGGCTGGAGTGCAGTGGCCCAATCTCGGCTCACTACAACCTCCACCTCCCAGATTCAAGTGATTTCTCATGCCTCAGCCTCCCAAGTAGCTGGGATTGAAAGCATGTGTCACTGTGCCCAGCTATTTTTTATATTTTTAGTAGAGACAGGTGTCTCTCACCATGTTGGCCAGGCTGGTCTTGAGCTCCTGGCCTCAAGTGATCCACCCACCTTGGCCTCCCGATGTGTTGGGATTGCAGGCGTGAGCCACCACGCTCAGCCAGCCCCACTCCCTTTGTTGTTGGCGTTGTTTTTGAGACAGAGTTTTGCTCTGCTCTGTCACCCAGGCTGGAGTGCAATGCTGTGATGTGGGCTCACTGCAACCTCTGCCTCCCGGGTTCAAGCGATTCTCCCACCTCAGCCTTCCGATTAGCTGGGACTACAGACATGCACCACCATGCCCAGTTAATTTTTGTATTTTCAGTAGAGACAGAGTTTTTGCCATGTTGGCCAGGTCCGCCCGCCTTGGCCTCCCAAAGTCCTGGGGTTACAAGCATGAGCCACTGTGCCCGACCCCCACTCACTTTTAGAGTACTGCCTCTTATACAGGCATGGTGGCTCACGCCTATAATCGAAGCACTGGGGGAGGCCAAGGCAGGTGGATTGCTTGAAGCCAGGAGTTCAAGACTAGCCTGGGCAACATACTGAGACCCTGTCTCTACAAAAAAGAAAAAATGTACCTGGACATAGTGGCACATACCTGTAGTTCCAGCTACTTGGAGGCTGAGGTAGGAAGTTTGTTGAACCCAGGTTTAAAGGCTACAGTGAGCAATCATAGTCCCACTTCACTCTAACCCTTGTGACAGAGTGAGAGACCCTGTCTCAAAAAGGGGAGGAGAGGGGGTATTGTGGCTTGGATAATTATATGGTCCCCTATCCATAAACCTTCCTGAATTCTTTTCAGATTAACGTGGAGACTGGTGTTTCTGTGTAATTAGCACTAACAGAGTTTGGTCTATTTTTATTAACCACTTTGTTTGCCCCTGCCCCAATTTCTACTCCGGGGCCAAAGTTAGCTTTGGTTTTATAGTCTGTTCACCCAACTAACGTATAGGCATGGTTTGCTTAATTTAGTTAACAGCAAGATTTTGCCACACCTGCTTTATCATCCTTTCTGCCAAAAAAAATTTTTTTTTTTTCCAAGACGGAGTCTCACTCTATCACCAAGGCTGGAGTGCAGTGGTGCAATCTCAGTTCACTGCAGCCTCTGCCTCCTGGGTTCAAGCAATTCTTCTGTCTCAGCCGCCCCCAGTAGTTGGGACTACAGGCGCGCACCACCACACCCAGCTAATTTTTGTATTTTTAGTAGAGACGGGGTTTCACCATGTTAGCCAGGATAGTCTCAATCTCCTGACCTCGTGATGCAGCTGCCTTAACCTCCCAAAGTGCTGGGATTACAGGTGTGAGCCACCATGCCCATCCCCGCCTGCACCCCTACCAGCTTTTTTTTTTTTGAGACAGCATTTTGCTCATATTGCCCAGGCTGGAGTGCAATGGCATGGTCTCGGCTCACCACAACCTCTGCTTCCCAGGTTCAAGTGATTCTCCTGCCTCAGCTTCCCGAGAAGCTGGGATTACAGGCATGCACCACCACACCTGGGTAATTTTGTATTTTTAGTAGAGAGACGGGGTTGAACTCCCAACCTCAGGTCATCTCCCCGCCTCAGCCTCCTAAATTGCTGGGATTACAGGCATGAACCACTGCACCCAGCAAAATATTTAACTTAAATGACACTTTATCCTAATATACTTCCATAGCTGAAATAAGCTGTTAAGTTTTTAGAAACCTATTCTGAAACCTAATTGGTATAGCAGAAGAACCTTTTGCCACGTGAGTCATCACCCCTGACATAATTTGATTTTCATTTATAAGATTCTCTTAGAGCTAGGTACAGTGTCACACACCTGTAGTCTCAGCTACTCAGGAGGAGGCAGGAGGATTACTTGAGCCCAGAGTTCCGGGCCAGCCTGGGCAACATAGTGAGATCCCATCTTTTTAAAAAAACAAAACCAGATTCTCTTGAAGTGGGGCATAGCTGTATTTCTGTGCTAATGTGAGGCTCCATGGGTATGCAAGACATAGTGGCTCTGGGTTTTCTTATAACTTATATTTCCTTTTCTTTTGTCAGTGCACGATCTGATTTTCTGGCGAGATGTGAAGAAGACTGGGTTTGTCTTTGGCACCACGCTGATCATGCTGCTTTCCCTGGCAGCTTTCAGTGTCATCAGTGTGGTTTCTTACCTCATCCTGGCTCTTCTCTCTGTCACCATCAGCTTCAGGGTCTACAAGTCTGTCATCCAAGCTGTACAGAAGTCAGAAGAAGGCCATCCATTCAAGTGAGTTGAAGTCTTAAAAGCAACAGTCTACATTTTAGTGGAAGGGTTCACTGAGACCAATAGGTATAAAACTCAGACCTGACTAAAAATCAAGAATTATGGGGCCTAATGCGGCTGATTGGTGGCATGAAGCATGCCCTGGAAACCTTGAAATCACCTTAAGAAGTGGCCAAGTTAGGAGCCAAGAACTTTTTGACAAATTAAAGGCTCATACTTAAAGTTCAAAGAGGGAGTCCTTGAAGGGAGTCCTTCATAGAGGACTCTAAATTCTTGAGCAGGGCAGGGAAAGCAGAGCACGTAGAGCAGTGCTCAGTTAGATGGGGTCCTGAGTGCATGGTTTTATTTATTTTTTAATTTTTTTTGTTTGTAGACAGAGTCTCACTCTGTTGCTGGGCTGGAGTGCAGTGATGTGATCTTGGCTCACTGCAACCTTCCCCGCCTGGGTTCAAGCAATTCTCCTGCCTCAGCCTCCCTAGTAGCTGCGACTACAGGCGAGCGCCACCACGCCCAGCTAATTTTTGTATTTTTAGTAAAGGCGGGGTTTCACCATGTTGGCCAGGATGGTCTCGATCTCTTGACCTCATGATCCACCCGCCTCGGCCTCCCAAAGTGCTGGGATTATAGGCATGAGCCACCCTGCCTGGCCTGAAGTGCATGTTTAAACCCCCACATAAGTAAGGCTTGAAATGGCTTTGAATCTTTTTTTTTTTTTTTTTTTTTGAGACGGAGTTTCGCTCTTGTTGCCCAGGCTGGAGTGCAATGGCGTGATCTCAGCTCACCGCAACCTCCGCCTCCTGGGTTCAGGCAATTCTCCTGCCTCAGCCTCCTGAGTAGCTGGGATTACAGGCACACGCCACCATGCCCAGCTAATTTTTTTAGTATTTTTAGTAGAGACGGGGTTTCACCATGTTGACCAGGATGGTCTCGATCTCTTGACCTCGTGATCCACCCGCCTCGGCCTCCCAAAGTGCTGGGATTACAGGCTTGAGCCACCGCGCCCGGCGGCTTTGACTCTTGATGTTGAGTGTGTGCTGTTGGTAATATCAGGACTCAGTGTTTTCACTCTTGGTTTATTACTGATATCCCCTTATCTCTTACTAGTTTTCTTAATACTAGTCTTAGTGAAGTCAGAAGATTCTCTGACTACATTTCTAGTATACAATTTCTAGCTTTTCTGATTGTGCTATAACTTTAACAAATGTTTTCTTCACACTTTCCTCTTGAAAATCTTAACCCCATAAACAATGTTGACCTTAACATGAGCAAATGACAGTTTTTTTGTTGTTTTTTGTTTTTTGCCCACCTGCAACTGTCCTGATTGAGTTATAGATAGTTTTTAAAAAGTTGCTTTTTCATAGAGAAGGAGACCTCTCAGGACTACAAAAGAATAGTTTTCTGGCCGCACCTATGTTGCTTGTATTTTCTCTTGGTGGAAATAGAAGGAATAATTTACAACTATATGTGGCATTAAAAATGTTATTGTAGTTTGGGCGGGGTGGCTTACACCTGTAATCCCAGCAGTTTGGGAGGCTGAGTTGGGCAGATCACTTTAGGTCAGGAGTTCAAGACTAGCCTGGCCAACCTGGTGAAACCTTGTCTCTACTAAAAATACAAAAATAGACCAGCTGTGGTGGCTCACGCCTGTAATCCCAGCACTTTCGGAGGCCAAGGCAGGTGGATCACGAAGTCAAGAGATCGAGACCATCCTGGCCAAGATGGTGAAACCCTGTCTTTACTAAAAATAAAAAAATTACCTGGGTGTGATGGCACCTGTAATCCCAGCTACTCTGGAGGCTGAGGCAGGAGAATCACTTGAGTCCAGGAGGCGGAGGTTGCAGTGAGCTGAGATCACCACTGCACTCCAGCCTGGTGACAGAGCAAGACTTCGTCTCGGGAAAAAAAAAAAAAAAAAATATATATATATATATATATATATATATATATATATATATGCATATATATGTATAAAAATTAGCCAGGCATGGTGGTGGGGGCTTGGATTCCCAGCCACTCAAGAGGCTGAGGCAGGAGAATCACTTGAACCCAGAGGGCAAAGGTTGCAATGAGCCGAGATCCCACCACTGCACTCCCTCCATCTCGAAAAACAGTAATACATGCAAATTGTGTTTTTTGTTTTTTTTCTTTTTATTTTCTTTATTTAGAGACAGCATCTTGCTGTTGCCTGGGCTGGTCACTAATTCCTGGGCTCAGGTGATCCTTACACTTCAGCCTCCCAAAGTGCTGCAATCACAGGCATGAGCCGCTGCACCTGGCTGTCTGTTCTTTTTTAAGTCAAGGTCTCGCTCTGTTGCCCAGGCTGTAATGCAGCCTTGAACTTCGGAGCTCAAGCGATTCTCCTCCCTCAACCCACCACCCCACCCCAGGTAGCTGGGACTACAGGCATGCACTACCATACCCAGCTATTTTTTTTTATTTTTTGTTAGAGATGGAGTTTTACTATGTTGTCCAGGCTGGTCTCAAATTCCTGGGCTCAATGATCCTCCCGCCTCAGCCTCCCAAAGTACTGGGGATTACAGGTGTGAGCCACAGATGAGTTTTAACAAGTCAATATTGTTGAATGAGTGGATAAATTTTACTATTTTGCAATAAGCTCTGGTGTCTTAGTGGGTTTTTTTTACCCCCTTCTTTTGCTTGATAGTGTTGCAGACTTATAAAGTGTTTCATTTGCCAAGCCTGTAATCCTACCACTTTGGGAAGACAAGGCAGGAGTACTGCTTGAGGCCAGGAGTTGGAGACCAGCCTGGGCAACATCACAAGACTCCATCTATAAAAATTTCTTTTTCTTTTTTTGAGACGGAATCTGGCTTTGTCGCCCAGGCTGGAGTGTGGTGGTGCAATCTCAGCTCACTGCAACCTCTGCCCCCCGGATTCAAGTGATTCTGCCTCAGGCTCCCAAGTAGCTGGGGTTACAGGTGTCTGCCATCATACCTGGCTAATTTTTGTATTTTTGTAGAGATGTGGTTTCACCATGTTGGCCAAGGCTGGTCTTGAACACCTGACCTCAGGTGATCTGCCCGCCTCTGCCTCCCAAAGTGCTAGGATTACAGGCGTGAGCCATCAAGTCTGGCCTAAAAAAAAAATTTTATTTATTTTATTTATTTACTTTGAGATGGACTCTTGCTCTGTTGCTCAGGTTGGAGTGCAGTGGTACATAGTTTCTTCTAATTTTTTTAAAAATATATTCTAATTGTGATATAAGGGTATGATAAAATAGCTATTTATAATAAAAGGACCTGTCTTTCAGTCAGTATTTAATTGCTTGGACATGACTACACAAAAAAAGTCAAGATACTTGGGCCTATCTGTATAATCGTCAGTACAAATATGGTTTTCCAAAACATTTTTAAAAAAATAAAACAGTAAAGTTTTAGTATAAACAAAATAAGAAACTTCAGGATATATTAAAACTGCTAAAAAAAAAAAAAAGTACCTTATTTTTGTGTGTTCTGGGCTCTTAATTACAAATACAAATGTGGTTTTCCAAAATGTTTCAAAGAAAACCTTAAGTTTTAGCATAAACGAAATACAGTTTTAGAAATTTCAGGATATGTTAAAACTGCTGGAAAAAAAAGGTACCTTGTTTTTATATGTTCTGGGCTCTTAATTATAAATGTATTCACCATCATGAATATACAATGAGGCAGTAAAAGTTACACCAAACATAGGACAGTTTACTGTGCATGACTGTCCCACGCAGACATCTAGCATCTTGGCCTCTGCCCACTGGATGATAGTGTGTCCCCACCCCACCTGACGACAACAAAAAAGTGCTCGTGCTCCTACAGATTCTAAAATGCACCCTGGGCACCAATTTTACATTCTCAGTCATTACTGTGTTAACAAAATCTTCCATGTCAAATGTATGACTGTTGTTTCTTCTTCTGGAAGAGCCTACCTGGACGTAGACATTACTCTATCCTCGGAAGCTTTCCATAACTACATGAATGCTGCCATGGTGCATGTCAACAGGGCCCTGAAACTCATTATTCGTCTCTTTCTGGTAGAAGATCTGGTTGACTCCTTGAAGGTTAGTTTGTTTCTGCAGCTTTTGGTCTTGACCCATAGAGATCTGGAAGTAGGCACTGGAAGAAGTGGAGTTTGTGGTCACAGGTTTATTAAATGGTCCCAATTATAAATTAAGAAATATCAAACAGAAAAAGCAGGGACTGGGTTATAATACAGAGGAAAAACAGTACACAGGATTTTATCAGACAGAAATGAACATATGCTTATCTCAGTCATTCTATAATGGGATAGGAGTCATTAGAGAAAGAAAAAGCCTTTTGCTGGGGAACAAACATCAGAACAGAGGTGATGTAATTGGTAGCAATGCAGTTTCAGTCTTTGGACCTAAGAGAACTACAGAATTCTCTCACTTACCTTCAAATGTATAACACAAGTAGGGAGGCCGGGCGCGGTGGCTCAAGCCTGTAATCCCAGCACTTTGGGAGGCCAAGGCGGGTGGATCACGAGGTCAAGAGATCGAGACCATCCTGGTCCACATGGTGAAACCCCGTCTCTACTAAAAATACAAAAACTAGCTGGGCATGGTGGCGCGTGCCTGTAATCCCAGCTACTCAGGAGGCTGAGGCAGGAGAATTGCCTGAACCCAGGAGGCGGAGGTTGCGGTGAGCCGAGATCGCACCATTGCACTCCAGCCTGGGTAACAAGAGTGAAACTCCATCTCAAAAAATAATAATAACAATTAAAAAAAAAAAAAACACAAGTAGGGAACCTTCATTTGAAGTTATCCATGTCACACATCACTAAATGTATCCAGACTTACTTACTTAGCTGGAGGAGAATGACATCAGTTAATGTGAATTTTGCCTTATGGTTATTCCTGCTTAACCTTTTGACATTGGCCTTCACAGCTGGCTGTCTTCATGTGGCTGATGACCTACGTTGGTGCTGTTTTTAACGGAATCACTCTTCTCATTCTTGGTAAGATGACAAGGAGAATGTGCTCATGCTCTTTGAAGTAGTTTGTAAGAATAAGAGTGAAGAGAATGCCCAGCACAGCTCCACTCATTGTGCATTGCCCAGCCTTGACCCATAGAGATCTGGAAGTAGGCACTGGAGGAACTGGAGTTTGTGGCCACAGGTTTATTAAATGGTCTCAATTATAAATTAAAAAATATCAAGCCGGGCGCGGTGGCTCAAGCCTGTAATCCCAGCACTTTGGGAGGCTGAGGCGGGTGGATCACAAGGTCGAGAAATCAAGACCATCCTGGTCAACATGGTGAAATCCCGTCTCTACTAAAAATACAAAAAATTAGCTGGGCATGGTGGCACGTGCCTGTAATCCCAGCTACTCAGGAGGCTGAGGCAGGAGAATTACTTGAACCCAGGAGGTGGAGGTTGCGGTGAGCCGAGATCGTGCCATTGCACTCCAGCCTGGGTAACAAGAGCGAAACTCCGTCTCAAAAAAAAAAAAAAAAGAAATATCAAAACAGCTGGAAGAAAGGACAGTTGTCTAGATTTGGTTTAAATATGGGGATCTTGTTTACAGAAACCATTTTGGTAATGCGGTAATTGTTATTTGTGGTACAAAGACGACAGCCTATATACCTGGAGCAGTGTTTTTTTGTTTTAACACTACCTTAAATTAGCTGCCTAACTGGCCTTAATTGGGAGCTCTAATGAGGATTTCTCCTTTTAGGAATATCTGTGTTTTCTTGTATTTTGTGAGAATAAATGTATGTTACTCTGAGTCTTAAGACGTGACTGTCTCTCATATACACTTGCCATGTCCCATGATTTTGTCTTACAGCTGAACTGCTCATTTTCAGTGTCCCGATTGTCTATGAGAAGTACAAGGTAAGCATTTATCTGTTCCAAATCAGATGTGCCAGTTGATGTATGACTACTTCTAGTTCATTTTTGAGACACTGAATTTCAGAGCAGTCTTTTTATAACTATTTCTACCATCTAATTTTGTGAGTAAAATGCCTATAAGAAACTGGTGGCATTAGTTTCCTCCAAGAAAAGAAACTGGATATTTAGGAGAGAGATGACTAGGAAAGAGAAACTTTTTTTTTTTTAATACCTTGGATGCCTTTTGAGTTTTTAATCATGTGGATGTATTTTCTATGCAAAAGTAGTAAGTTGAAAAAATGCTTAGGCCAGGTGCAGTGGCTCATACCTATAATCACAGCACTTTGGGATGCCGAGGCAGGAGGATCCCTTGAGCCTGGGAGTTCAAGACCAGCCTGGGCAACACGGCAAAACTCTGTCTCTACAAAAAATATTAGCCAGGTGCAGTAGCCTGCACCTCTGGTTCAAGCTACTGTGCTAAGCCAGGAGAATCACTTGAGCCCAGGAGGCAGAGGTTGCAGTGAGCCAAGATCGTGCCATTGCGGTCCAGCCTGGGTGATGGGAGTAAAACTGTCTCAAAAAGGCCAGGAGCAGTGTCTCACACCTGTAATCCTAGCACTTTGTGGGGCTGAGGCAGGCAGATCACTTGAGCTCAGGAGTTTGAGACTGGCCTGGCCAACATGGTGAAACCCCATCTCTACCAAAAATACAAAAATTAACCCGGTATGGTGGCACACGCTCATAGTCCCAGCTACTCAGGAGGCTGAGGCAGGAGAATTGCTTGAACTCAGGAGGTGGAGGTTGCAGTGAGCTGAGATTGCACCACTGTACTCCGACCTGGGTGACAGAGCAAGACTTCATCTCAAGAAAAAAAAAAAATAAGCTGGGCGCAGTGGCTCACGCCTATAATCCCAGCACTTTGGGAGGCCGAGGCGGGTGAATCACAAGGTCAAGAGATCAAGACCATCCTGGTCAACATGGTGAAACCCCGTCTCTACTACAAATACAAAAAATTAGCTGGACATGATGGTGCATGCCTGTAATCCCAGCTACTCAGGAGGCTGAGGGCAGGAGAATTGCCTGAACCCAGGAGGCGGAGGTTGCGGTGAGCCGAGATCGCGCCATTGCACTCCAGCCTGGGTAACAAGAGCAACACTCTGTCTCAAAAAAAAAAAAAAAAAAAAAATTTAACAAAGTATGGGGTGTTTATGGTGTGATTTGGATTCTAAAACCAGAGGTTTTAAAAACTGGGTATTTTCCATTTTCTAGACTAGTCAGTAGTGTTTACAAAAACGGTTAAACTAGACAAAAGAGCAATGCCTCCAGGAAAATTGGTGACCTGGTATGCTGCCACAACTGAATCTATTTTCCTTCCTTAAAGACCCAGATTGATTACTACGTTGGCATCGCCCGAGATCAGACCAAGTCAATTGTTGAAAAGTAAGTACATTGAGAGACCACATCATCATGAGGTATGCTTTCTTCCCCCCAGTTATCTTTAGTACCTTGTATAAAATGCTGATCCAAGGAAAGTAATTTTAAGTCTCATAAAAACCTTAGTTAATAGTTTCATTTTACTAGAAATTATTATGGCTGCTTCTGTAAAAAGAAAAAAAAATCCTTTGTATCTTTCTTTTTCGGCCCTGCCTTCTGGACCTTTGTTATCTTAGATTAAAAATTATCAATAGGCCAAGTATTTTGATGCACACCTGTAATGCGAATGCTTTGGGAGGATGGCTTGAGCCCAGGAGTTTGAGAGCAGCCTTGGCAACATAGCTAGGCCTTGTCTCTACTAAGAATACAAAATTAGCTGCGTATGGTAGCACGTGCCTTTAATCCCAGCTACTGGAGAGGCTGAGGCAAGAGGATCAATGGAAAAAAAAGAAGTGAGATTTTTTGGAAACGGTTTCACTCTGTCACCCAGGCTGAAGTGCAGTTTCGACCTCCTGGGCTCAGGTGATCCTCCCACCACAGCTTCTCCAGTAGCAAGGACCATAGACTACTCTGCCTTTTTGAACTGGCTTTTAAATGTTCTTGGTTGCAGGTGGGTGTGGTGGCTTACGCTTATAATCTAACACTTTGGGAGGCCAAAGTGGTGGATCACGAGGTCAGGACTTCGAGACCAGCCTGGCCAACACAGTAAAACCCCATCGCTACTAAAAATACAAAAATTAGCCAGCTGTGGTGGCATGCACTTATAGTCCCAGCTACTCAAGAGACTGAGGTGGGAGAATCGCTTGAACCCAGGAGGTGAGGTTGCAGTGAGCTGAGACACTCCAGCTTGGGTGACAGAGTGACACTTTATCTCAAAAAAAAAAAAAAAAAAAAAATTCTTGGTTGCTTCCCTGCATTCATTTATTTTCACATGTATTCATTTAAAGCCAAACACACACATCCCTGTCAGAAACAAAAGTTCTAGTAAATAAATAACTTAAGGATCAAAGCTGTCTTTTCTAAAATTGCCAAATCCCTGTTTCCATTTTTTTAAACCAATTAATAATTAAATCAGGTAATAAAATATTGATTAACATCTTTATGGCTCCCTATATCAAAGAGTTGTTTTCTTCTTTTTACTTTGTTTTCCCCCATACCTAGAGGACAATGTTTTTTTTCTTTTCTTTTCTTTTCTTTTCCTTTGCTTTTTAGAGACAGGGTCTCACTTTGTCACCCAGGTTGGAGTACAGAGGCACAAGTTGAAAGCTAATTGCAGTCTTGACCTCCCAGGCCCAAGTGATCCTCCCACCCCAACCTCCTGAGAACCTGGGACTACAGGCATGTGCCATGCCCTGGCTAATTTTTTATTTTTTGTCTCACTATGTTGCCCAGGCTAGGCTTAAACTTCTGGCCTCCCACCTTGGCCTCACAAAGTGCTGGGATTACAGGCATGAGCCACTGTGCCCAGTGTTTATTTTGAATTATTCATAGCAATACTGTGAACCTAACACTTTGAATTAAAATGTTAACATTTTTCTTTGTTTTTTTTTTTTTGAGACGGAGTCTTACTGTCACCCAGGCTGGAATGCAGTGGCGTGATGTCGGCTCACTGCAAACTCTGCCTTCTAGGTTCAAGGGATTCTCCTGGATTCACCTGCCTCTGCCTCCCAAGTAGCTGGGATTACAGGGGTGCACTACCACACCTGACTACTTTTTTAAAATTTATTTTTAGTAGAAACAGGGTTTCACCATATTGGACAAGCTAGTCTCGAACTTCTGATCTCAAGTGATTCACCTACCTCAGCCTCCCAAAGTCCTGGGATTACAGGCGTGAGCCACTCCACCCAGCCTAAAATGTTAATATTTTTCATACTTTCTTCAGATATTCTTTAAGAGGCAAAGAACAGTTTAAAAATGGTTAAATCCCCTTTGTGCCCCTTGAGTTCCTTTCGCACACCATAAAAACATGAATGCTTTTTCCAGCTTTATAAGAGGAAATTGGGAATATACCCAGATAGGTCTAGCTTGATGCCAGGGTCTTCACCTGCTTTTTGCTTTTTTAAAAAGTACACAGGTCGGGCGCGGTGGCTCAAGCCTGTAATCCCAGCACTTTGGGAGGCCGAGGCGGGTGGATCACGAGGTCAAGAGATCGAGACCATCCTGGTCAACATGGTGAAACCCCGTCTCTACTAAAGGTGCAAAAAATTAGCTGGGCATGGTGGCGCGTGCCTGTAATCCCAGCTAGTCAGGAGGCTGAGGCAGGAGAATTGCCTGAACCCAGGAGGCGGAGGTTGCGGTGAGCCAAGATCACGCCATTGCATTCCAGCCTGGGTAACAAGAGTGAAACTCCGTCTCAAAAAAAAAAAAAAAAAAAAAAAGTACACATTGGTATTAAAGCCAGATGGACAGTTAGCATAAATATATATATCTAGGCCAAGCGCAGTGGCTCACGCCTGTAATTCCAACAATTTGGGAGGCTGTTGCAAGCCGATCACCTGAGGTCAGGAGTTCGAGACCAGCCTGGCTGACATGGTGAAACCCCATCTCTACTGAAAATACAAAAATTAGCCAGGCATGGAAGCACACGCCTGTAATCAGCCACTCAGGAGACTGAGGCAGGAGAATCACTTGAACCCAGGAGGGGGAGACTGCAGTGAGCTGAGATGATGTCACTGCACTCCAGCCTGGGCAACAAGAGCAATTTTCTTTTTTCTTTTTTTTTTTTTTTTTGAGACGGAGTTTCGCTCTTGTTACCCAGGCTGGAGTGCAATGACGCGATCTCGGCTCACCGCAACCTCTGCCTCCTGGGTTCAGGCAATTCTCCTGCCTCAGCCTCCTGAGTAGCTGGGATTACAGGCACGTGCCACCATGCCCAGCTAATTTTTCTGTATTTTTAGTAGAGACGGGGTTTCACTATGTTGACCAGGATGGTCTTGATCTCTTGACTTCATGATCCACCCGTCTCGGCCTCCCAAAGTGGTGGGATAACAGGCTTGAGCCACCACGCCCGGCCTAAGAGCAATTTTCTGACAGTGGTCTTATAAAAAACAAAAGCAAAACTTCACCTCAAAAAATATAAATAAATATATATACTTATGTATATTTATTTATATATATTATATATAATATGCATATAATATATATGATATATAACATATATATTATGTTATATATATATGATATATATATATATATATATATATATGGAGGCCAACGTGGGCAGATCACGAGATCAGGAGATCGAAGCTATCCTGGCCAACATGATGAAACCCCGTCTCTACTAAAAATACAAAAATAAGCTGCACGTGGCAGCACATGCCTGTAATCCCAGCTCCTCAGGAGCTGAGGCAGGAGAATCACTTGAACCGGGAGGCAGAGGTTGCAGTGAGCTGAGATCACGCCAGTGCACTCCAGCCTGTCAACAGAGCTAAACTGTGTCTCAAAAAATACATATATATGTGTGTGTATATATGTTTATGTTTACATATATATTTATCTGGTTGTTTTACCCCTAATTTGTGAAAGATGATCATAGCTCATCTTTAGATCTGATGTCTTTTTTTTTTTTTTTTTTAGATGGAGTCTTGCTCTTTCACCCAGGCTGGAGTGCAGTACGCTATCTCAGCTCACTGCAACCCTCTGCCCCCTGGGTTCAAGCAATTCTCCTGCCTCACTCAGCCTCCCAGGTAGCTGGGATTACAGTCGCCCACCACCATGCCCAGCTAATTTTTGTATTTTTAGTAGAGTCAGGGTTTCACCATGTTGGCCAGGCGGATCTCAAACTCCTGACCTCAGGTGATCCTCCTGCCCCAGCCTCTCAAAGTGCTGGGAGTACAGGCGTGAGCCACTGTGTCTGGCCAGATCTGATGTCTTAACTGCCAGTGTTAGCTGATTTGTGTCACCTGCTATGGGATGTGGCATTTGTGGAGAGGGTAGCCTTGACATTCACTGAGGGATATGAATGACCATAGTGATGCCTTAATGACTTCAGAACACCTTTGCCAGGATAAAAGGGACCTTTGGCGTCCTGTGAAGGGTAGGAACCATTGCCAGCTTCTACACTTTGAGACAGAGTCTTGCTCAGTGCAGTGGCACGATCTCAGCTCACGTTGTCTCCCGGATTCCAGCAATTCTGCCTCAGCCTCCTGAGTAGCTGGGATTACAGGCGTGCGCCACCACACCCAGCTAATTTTTGTATTTTTTAGTAGAGACAGGGTTTCACCATATTGGTCAGGCTGGTCTCAAACTCCTGACCTCAAGTGATCCACCTGCCTTGGCCTCCCAAAGTGCTAGGATTACTTACAGGTGCAAGTCACTGTTAAAATAAAAACCTAGAGCAAATGCTTACGTGTTCACTTTCTTTCTCTCCCCCACCCCCCTTTTCTCAATAGGATCCAAGCAAAACTCCCTGGAATCGCCAAAAAAAAGGCAGAATAAGCACATGGAAACCAGAAATGCAACAATTACTAAAACACCATTTAATAGTTATAACGTTGTTATTTGTACTATGAAGGAACATACTCAGTGTCAGCTTGAGCCTGCATTCCAAGCTTTTTTTTTTTTAATTTGGTGTTTTATCCCATCCTTTCCCTTTAGCCCTCAGTATCAAGCACAAAAATTGATGGACTAAAAAAAGAACTATCTTAGAACACAGAAGAATAAAGAAAGAATCAAATTCATAGGATAAGTTAATACCTTAATGGTGGTGGAGCTTTTACCTGTAGCTTAAAAGGGGAAAGATTGGAGGTAAAAGAGAAAATGAAAGAACACCTCTGGGTCCTTCTCTCCAGTTTTCAGCACTAGTCTTACTCAGCTGTTCATTATAGTTTTGCCCTTAAGTTAAGAAGTAATAATTAACTTATGAAAAAGTTATCTGGGGATAGGAGTATATCTTTCTTGTTTTTTTTTTTTTTTTTTTCCAGCCCTCAAATCTTACCTTCCTGTCCCACAATGTGAGCAGCTACTCCCGATATTCCTTTTCTTTAATAACAACTTGATGAGTAACTTATAGGTGATAATGTTAATTCCTGATTCTGATAATGCCATCTGATAAAAAAGAATAGAAATGGAAAGTGGGACTGGAGAGGGAATCAGGAGTGCTGTGGTGGCCTCCACTCCCTCTGCCACTATCCCCAGGGAAGGAAAGGCTCCGCCATTTGGGAAGGTGGTTTCTATGTCACTGGACACCAGTTCTGAGCGTTAGTTTGAGAACTCATTCCCGAATGTGCTTTCCTCCCTCTCCCCTGCCCACCTCACCTTAAGTTTAATAAATATGGTTGTACTTTTCTTACTATAAGGTAAATGTCTGTAACTGCTGTACACTGCTGTAAACTTGTTAGAGAAAAAAATAACCTGCATGTGGGCTCCTCAGTTATTGAGTTACTGTGATCCTGTCTCATTCTGTGGGGGGAACATTCTCAAGAGGTGAAATACAGAAAGCTGATTCCCATTTGAGGCTAAGTTTTTTCTTCACTTTCAACATGAAAATTCCACAAACTTGAAAGAAAAATCATCTGTGAGTTCCTTCAGGTTCTCACTCATAGTCATGATCATCCAGAGGGAATATGCACTGGTGAGTTTAAAGTAAGGGCTACGATATTTGATGGTCCCAAAGTACTGCAGCTGCAAAAAGCAGTGGAAGGAAATCTTTCTGCGCATTTTGGGAAAATTAGGTATGTGAATGAGTGAAAAGTACCCTTGCCTTACTGTCTTATTAGCCTCTTTTGAGTGTTTTAACTGGTTTCCTGTCCTAGTAGGAAGTCCATCCTTCATCATCATCCTCTGCCCTCCCAGGAAGTCAATGATTGTCTTTTTGGGCTTCCCTCCAAAGGACCTTCTGCAGCGGAAGCACCACATCCAGTTCTTTTCTTTTGTTGCTGCTGTGTTTAGATAATTGAAGAGATCTTTGTGCCACACAGAATTTTTTTTTTTTTTAAAGAAAAACCTATAGATTAAAAATTACTAATGAAACTGTGTACGTGTCTGTGCGTGCAACATAAAAATACAGTAGCACCTAAGGAGCTTGAATCTTGGTTCCTGTAAAATTGCAAATTGATGTGGTATTAATAAAAAAAAAAAAAAAAGCATGACTGTGGCATCATTCTGCTAACTTTATTCTTTATACACAGTTTGGGTAAAGTAAGAACCAAACACTGCTTCCATTCCCCCATCCTCACTCCACTTTGGGGGCTTTAAAAAGTGACTTAATAGTTGTTACTGATAAGGATTCCCAAGACTGCAGAATTTAGTTGTAGAGCATAACTGTGCATTTGATCTCAAAGAAATAAGAGATCCTCTAAGAGGTGATGACCTTATAGAAGAATGAGGAGGGGTCGGGGGTCTGTTATCCCAGTTCAGTCTCCCACCCACCTGGGAGTTTTCCCCACCTATAAATTACATATAGCCACAATGCACTTAAATTGAGTCAAACACCATGGAAAATAGGAACTGAATACATCAGGTCTTAATTGAAAGAACTCGAGTGGTCACCTGTGATTAGCTCTTCTCCTAAAGTAAGGCTGCTGTGACCCTTAAGCTGGCTTTTAAAAATGTACTCAACATACCTCTTAGAAAACTTAGGCTGAAATATTGTTTAAATGACTGATGCAAACAATTTCACAAATACACATACAAATGTTTGAATAATGTCACTAAGTAACATGGTATATAAATATGTATTCAGAGTAACATTTACATATTGCCCATAATAGCAAGCATACCATTAACAAAAAGAAAAAATCATGAAGAAACTTCACCTGTTCACGTCAGAATCTCAAGGCAAGGAGGCATAACGAGGCAAGAGGACCAAGTCACCTCCCGACCTCTAACCTGTGAGGCTGCAACCTCGGTGGAAGCAGGAATCACTGCAGCAGCCCTCCCCCATCACTGGTGCCCAGCACTGCAGCTGCGTCGATATCAATGGAGGGCTCATGAAAACAGACAGCTGAGCCCCAACCAAGTTTCTGATTCAGAAATCCTGGGGTAGGGCCCAAGAATATTTCTAGCAGATTCCTAAGGTGATGATGCTGCCGGTCTCAGGGACACACTTTGAGACTCACTGGTGTGTTTGGAGCTGTCTCAGTAAAGATACTCCTCTGCCCTGGCTTATCTTAACTTTGCAAGTGAGCCTGAATAATTATAAATTGGTTGCCCCAATTTTCCTACTGTTTTTGAGCGGGCAGAGTAAAAAAAAAAAAAAAAAAAAAAAAAAAAAAATGGTGTAATACTCACTCTGGATCCAAAAACATGCATGAAGAAAAGTAAATGGCAGTACGCAGCCTGGTGCCATCCATAAACTCCGTTCTGAAGTTTTTAATACTGTCTCAAAAACCCTGGAGGTTCAAACTGGGAATTCACTTTTCAGTCAACTGACAACCCATTCAGGATCTTCCTGAATCCCTGGTGGCTTCCACAACGAAGAACACAAAGCCCCCTGCCGAAGAGGTCTTAGGCCCGCAGCAGCCGCCCCGCCTGTAGAGTTCTACTGGGGAGGGGAAGGCCCAGCTGACGGCGCCTTCCAGCTGAGGCCGTGCAGAGCTCAGCGTGCTCATCCCAATGTAGTGTACAGGGCTTTGCTACCTTCCGGAGTCAGAGCTCCACTGTGGTGGCCTACAGTGCCCAAAACGTCAATCCTTCAGCAGGCGTGACAAATTTTAATCACTGACCAGCAAATTGGGAAGCAGCGTGGTATCGTGCAAAGAACACTGGGGGTCGGGAGCTAGGATTTTCATTCTAGTTCTTGTCCTGCCCCCTACCTGGCTATGTCATAATCTCGGTTCCTGGGCGCCAATCTACCTATCTGTGAAAGGGAGGAGGGTGGTACTAGTGATCTCCAGGGTCCTTCCCAATTCTGACAGTCTCGAATTATATAAAAATGCTATAAAATCCGTGGTATAAAATCCAACTTCCAAACAGGAAGAGTCAAGGGGACTGGGCCTGAGGCACTTGAACCTTGGGCTCTCGCCTACGGGTCAGGGATGAGGGGCCTACTCTGCCCTCTTGCTTTCCCACCCCGAGGCAGGGGCTGGCCCCCACTGCCAGGACCTCTTCCTCCATACACAACCCTCAAGTCCCACCCACTGGCCTCCCCACCCCGACTTTAGGACCCAGGGAACTGTCTCTGCAGCAGCCTGGCTTTGTGAAGAGCAGACATCGAGGCCCAGATGCTCCCAGGGAGTAACGTCAGCACAGCCAGTTGGGGTCCTCCCGTCCCAGGCTACTCCTTCCTTCAGGTCCTCCCTTCACCACCTCACAGCTTATCTCTGATACACGCATAATAAATAAGACATTTGCACATAGGGGTGACTGGGTCAGCTCTGTCCCCGCCCCTCCCTATTTCATAAAAAAGCATTAAATACAGTTTCAAAATAAAATACAAAGAGCAAAAAAAGGGCCTGATCTCGGGGCCACCGGTTCTCCACAGGAGAATGAATCTACACATCCCTCTCGGACCTGCCTGGGAGATCGCGGGGTCCCCTCCCTGCCCCAGAGGGCCTGGCGTGGCGCTGCTGCGGGGAAAAGAAGCGAGGCCCGGCCCCAGGCCTTGCGGGCTGAGAACGGGCGCCGCATCCACCGCGTACAAAAGGGGATGGGGATGGGGTGGGAAGAGAAGGCTGACTGCCGGGACCTCCTGTGCCCCGGGCTCCCACGGACCTGGTGGCGCCCGACTCTGAGTTTAGGGATAAACGGGGCCCTCGGGGCAAGAGGAGCAAAGGAAAAAAGTGCTAATCCCTTTACAAGATCCGTCTGGGCGGGCGCGGCAGCGACCCGGGAGGAAGGTGGGGCCGCTCGGTTCCTACCGAGCCCGCGGGAGAGGTCGGCGCAGCTGATCCGGCCCAGGCCCCGGGCGCATCGCCCCGCCCTCGGTCCAACAGACCCTCCTAGCTTGGGAAGGCTCCCGAGCCCCGAGGCCCCGCCTCCGGCTGGAAGCCCCAGTCTGCAGCCAGGGCCTCCGTGAGGCCGAGAATCCCAATTAGGGAAGGGCAGCCAGCAGCCCCCGAGCCGGGAGCCGTGCCTGCCGGCGTGCAAGGCTGCAGAGAACTGGGCTCCCTGCCAGGACCAGGGCCAGAGCCGGAACATCCTTCCTGCCCTCCGCGAGGCCCCCCTCCGGCCCTAATACTGACTGATGGCGCCCCCAGTCCCGGCCTGCGGAGGAGTCCCTCGCGGGGTGCGGCCGGAGCGCTCGGCGCTAACACTTGGAGGCCGCTTTGGATTCGCGGAAAACGTGGGCCCTGCACGGGGAGGGCAGGGCTGGGGGCCGAGGGGAAAGTGCGCTTCCCGCAGCGCACCGACTGGCTCGGGAACCCGAGTAGCACCGCGCGGACGCCAGCGACCCCACTAGATGCCCCGTCTCCGCCCGGCCCGGCCAGCGGGGGGCGCGGCCGCGGGGAGCGCTAGCACCCGGCGCGAGGGTCTCCCAGCAGGGGGGCCAGGCGAGCCAGGGCAGGGCGGAGCGGGGCCGACCCGACCCGGGGACCCACCAGGCCGCTATGCCCGACACACAGCGCCAGACTTGAGGTCCGCGCCGCCGTCACGCGGCGCTGGGGCGGGCGGCCCGAAGCCCTCGTGGCCGTAGCAGCGCAGCGCCGCCTCCTCATAGGCCTCCAGGATGGTCTGGCGCTCCTCGGGCGTGAAGTCCATGGAGAAGGGGTGCACCTGCAGGATGTGGCGCTTGATGGTGCTCACCTTGAGAGTGGCCAGCGCGCCCCCGCACACCATGCACACCAGGCCGCGCCGGCTGCCGTCGTAGTCCATCAGGTACTCGCCCCGCCAGCGCGGCTGGTAGTTCCGCCGCTGCTCCCGGCTGCGGGGCGGGGGCGGGGGCGGCGGCGGGGGGGGCGGCGGCGGCAAGGCGAGTTCCCCGGCCTCCTGGCCGTCCTCTTCGTCCTCCTCTTCCTCAGCGGGCCGCTCCAGTGGAGCCCCAGGGGACGGCGGGACGTCACCTAGGGAGGGACAAAGGGCTGCATTGGCGCCGGCAGGGGGCAGGGGGCAGCAGGCCGGGCCCTGCATCTCCTCTCCGGTGCCCCCCAACCCCCGCCTCTGCCCTTCTGCCCCATCCTCCAGTCCCTTCTTCCCCAGCAGCGCCCGACCCTCGCTCCCTGCCTGCCCCGGGCCCTGCCCGTCCGGCACTCCCTCTCCGCCTGCTCTGGCCCCACCGCTCACCCCACGCCTCCTCCTCTGGCTCCTCCTCCTCGTCCCCTCCCCCCTCCTCGGAGGCTGCGGCCGTGCCTGGGGCGGCGGGGCCCCGGGGAGACTCGGGGCGGGGCAGCCCCAGGGCCAGCAGGTGGGCGGCCTTCTCGCTCCACTCCCGGGCGATGAGGGCCTGGAGGGGCCCGCCGAAGCGCGTGGAGCCCGGGTGGCGCCGGCGGATGTGGCGCTCGATGGTGCTCATCTTGAGCGAGGCCAGCGAGCCCCCGCACACCCCGCACACCAGGCCGCGCCGGCCGCCGTCCAGCTCCATGAGGTACTCCAGCCGCCAGCGCTCCTGGGGGTGGCGGCGGTGGGTGCGGCCTCGCGGCGACCGGCCCGGGACCCCCGCCCTCTCGCCCTCGCCCTCCTCCAGCTCCTCCTCCTCTGCGGGCCCGGGCCTCTCAGGGACCCAGCCAGCCTCTTCCTTTACGTCTGGGGGGCTGAGATCCTGAGAGGAGGGGGCTCCAGCAGCGGAGGCCGAGTCCCGGCTCTTTCTGGTCAGGTCCTGGGGGGCGAGGTCATCGCCTGTTGGGGAAGGGGTGAGGGAGAGGGGCTCAGCCTGCTGGCTGGATTGCCCTTGCCCACGCTGAGGGGTCTATCCTGGCTCCTCACCCCGGCCCCAACTAGGGACCCCAGGCTGTGTGTGTCTGGGGGCAGGGCGGGGAGTGTATGTGTGTGGAGAGCCAGCTCCTGGCCTTCCGCCCTCAGCCATAAGTCCCTGCCTCCCAGTTTTGGCCACAGACCCCACTTCAGAGCCCCAATATGAGGGGGTCTCGGCCTGGGATAGCCTCGCACCTGGTGGGGACTGGGTGAGGTCAGAGAGCGCCTCAGGCTGGCCCCCCCAGGCCTGCAGCAGGGCACTGCGCTGGGGGCCGCTGAGCCCCAGGGAGCCGGGGTGCACCTCCAGCACGTGGGCACGGATGTCGTCCAGGTGCAGGCTGGGCAGTGCCCGGCCGCAGGCCATGCACACCAGCCGGTTCCCCCGCGGGTCGTAGTCCATGAGACACTCGGCCCGGAACCAGTTCTGCAGGGACTCCTTCAGCCTCCTCTCCAGGCGCCGGGCCCCCAGCCCCCTGCTGCCCCCGGCCCTCCGGGAGGCTGAGAGGCGCAGACGCCGAGCCCGGGGTGCCACTGGCCCCCCTCGCCGCTGGCGCCGGCAGCCCCCACCAGCTGGGGTTTTGCCTGAAAGGGTTGGAGGGAAGGAACTGAGACGCTGGCCCCACGGGAGCACCCCCACTACCGCCGGGTCTCCCACAAGCCTCTCACTCACTTGGGCCCAGGCCTAACCTTTGCCCTTCTCTTCCTCTCCCCTGAAGTCCTAACTCCACCTCCCCAAACCCTCCGGCGCGCACACACTCCAAGCACCGCCCACACGAGTGGAATCTAGCCGGCCCGGCCTTCACGTCCGCCACACCTTCCCCAGCCAGGCCTCCCCGCTCCAAGCCTTTCCACTGTCACCCCACCTCTCTCCTTGATACTTCAGAAACCACAGAACATCCAAGCTGTCTGGGCGGCGGAGTCCCTCTCACCCCACTGTTCTTCCCCACCTTTGTATAATAAGGGCAATACACAGACCCAAGCCAGAGGAGGAGCAGTGGCTTGCTCCAGAACACCAGCTCCTTGGCGGCACAGCGGCTGCCGCACCGGACCCTCTGGCCTCCCAGACCCCTGCCTCTCCATAACCTGTATTTGCATTACCTGGGCCCTTGGGCGGGCAAGCTGGGACACCGGCCCCCTCCTCCTCCTCTTCTTCCTCCTCCTCCTCCTCCTCCTCAGCCCCCTGGACCCCCAGGCCCTCCGCCTCTCCGCAGGCCCCCAGCCCCAGGTGCGCATCCCAGCTGTTGCTGATGACTTCCTTCTCCCGGGGACTCCAGTGCAAGGAGTAGGGGTGCTTCTGGCGGATGTGGCGCTTGATGGTGCTGAGCTTGAGCGTGGCCAGGGAGCTGCCGCACACCATGCACACCATGCCGTGCCTGGCAGGGTTGAAGTCCATCAGGTACTCCAGCCGCCAGTGGTCGTGGTAGTAGCGCCGGTGGTCACGGCCAGGGATGCGGCTCTTGCCAGGCCTCGAGGCCCGAGCCTCACAGTGGTCTGAATACTTCCTGCCTGAAGATGCTGGTCCCCTGGCCCTGGAGGAGGGCAGGGGGGCACTCCCCCAGGACCCCAAGGCACCCCCTTCCAGCTGAAGATCTTGCCCTGAAGAAGGGGAAAGGGAGACAGTTTTTCAATCTCTTATTTCCAGGGAAAGAAGCGGGGGGCTTCGCTGGTGGGCCGTGAGAAAGGGAGCTGGGGGAGGGGGTGTTCAGGGGCAGGAAAGGGAGGCAACAGCAATAAAAGGGACGTGGGAGAACCGCGGAGCCAACACATTGGCCCTTTACAAAGAGGAACCCTTTAGGAGGAGATCAAGAACAAAAGGACGCAGGTCACTGTGGAGCTAGCTCTGACTTTTTAAAAAATAAGGTGAGAGCCAAGGAACCAGCCAGCTCTGTAAGGTGCCCTTTCTGGGCAAGAGCTGTAGGGAGAAAGCCAGGAGAGCAGCAGGCCAGGGCGGTTACAGCCGGAGCAGAGCAGCAGTGGGGCCAGACAAACAAAGGGGGCATCTGTCTGCAGCCAGGGCTGCACTCGAGACCCACCCGCCCAGGGCCCCCGCCAGGAGGGCCCCACCCACAGATCTTCTCCCTTTTTCCAGTAATGCTTCAAATACAGCCTCCGGGGAGTCCCATTTTGGGGATGGGCTAGGCATTGTCAGTTCCCCAAATCTAGGCTCCCACATGGGAGGGATCCCCAAGACAAAGCTGCCAACATCTCCGGGAAAAGGAGTTTCTGAGACCAAAACTTCTCCAGATTCTGGAGGAGCCGATGACCCTGAAAAGGGACAGCAGGAGGACCACCAGAGTGGCGACTGATGGCGGCAGGGAGTGGCCCCGTCCACTGACGCCCATTAAGTCTGTCTGGGGCTTTATTTGTTGCTCTGGCAGAGAGCCGACCACTGCCCAGCAGTCAGAAGGGCGGGCACTGGAGAGGCCCCACTAACCCAATGGCATGCCCTGTGCCAGACACCCACCCAGGGCAGTCCCTACCCTCCCTACAGCTCCCATCCCTCTTGATTTAGAAAATGGTCTCCTGGGTGCACAGACAGGTTCTGGTCATTCTCCCAGTGGAGAATCACAGGCTTGGAAAAACAAAAGACAGGATCCGAAAGGGGTCCTGTCACCCCTGTGGGACGTTTTTTGTTTTAGTTTTTATTGAAGTAGATCCGTAGAATCTACTGGCTTCGGAGTCATAGGCCTGGGTTCAAGTCCTGGCTTCCCTGGTAACTTGCTCTGTGACCTTTGATAGGTCATGTCCGCCCTCTGGGCCTGAGCTTCTTTGTCTGCAAAGACACTGGCTAGCTGGCTGGTCTCTAAGCATCCTTCCAGCGCTGGATCCAAGCTAGTCTAAGGTGGATTGGCCCTTTAAGAGCCGAAAAAGGAGGAGGAGCTGAGGTTCTTTAAAAACAAAAGGGGATGGGGAGTTTCTGGGAGGGGAGAGACTGGGAGGAAAGCCCGGAGATTCGGGCAGTCTCCGGGCCTGGAGGAAACCTTCAAGGGTCTTAAGGCGTTGACCCTGCGGCCGGGAGATAAGTTAACAGTGTCCTCTGAGAACGAAAGAGGAGGACTGGCTGGTTCCGCTGCAGCTGACAAATTAGGGCAAAAAAAAAAAAAAAAAAATTCTGAAAAGCAGGGAAGAGAGAATGCACGGGCAGGAGGGGTGTACGCCTTTGTGGGCGAACCCATCCCTTTAAAAACGGCCCGCGGTGGGAAAAGGTGCTATGAGCCCCCAGGGCGCAAGCGATGCACTTTCCTAGGGAGAACGTGGGAAAAAAGAGAAAGGGTGCCTGTTTCTCACAAGGCCACGAGACCAGAGGAGCAGCCGATTTAAAACAGCGGAGTTCGGAGCTGAGCTCAGCTTCGCTGGGGAAAAGCCCCCGAAGGGGACCTAGGGCCTGAAAGGACTTTTAAGAGACAGCTGGATAAGGGAGACCACCTGGGGAGTCTGAAAGAGAAAGGGGCGGGGGCAGCAAGTCCACCAGCCTCGCTCCGTGGTGCCTCGCCCCCTAGGGCCCCTCGGACCTGGCCCCCAAGGCGGGCCGCTGCGGGCGGCCGCGGGGCCCTTTAAGGGGGAGGCGAGCCGCGGGAGCCCAGCGGGCCGACCCCGGGAGCTGGGCGGGGGGGCTCCCCCGCTGGCCCTGCAGCCGCGCTCCGCGCCCACCAGGTGGCGCCCCCGGCCGGCCTGCCCGCGTCCCCCGCTTTGTTCGGCGGCGGAGAGGGGCCCCGAGCCGCAGCCCTCCCCTCCCCCACGCCGGGGCCCCCGCCCGGGCCGCCGGCCCCAGCTCTTACCGCCTTCGTCCTCCTCCGGCTCCGCGCCGCCGCTCACTCCGGCGGGCGGCAGCCGTCGGCCCCGTGCCGAGGCCACTGCTGGCCCGGGGCCGCCCCTGCCGCCGCCGCTCCGGCTCCGGTGGTCCCCGCCGGGCTCCATGCGCTGCGCTGAGGAGCGGGGCCCCGGGGCGGCGGGGCGCGGGGCCGCGGGGCCGGCGGCAGCCCGCGCGGAGCGCTCGGTGCACGGGGCCCCGGGGCGCGGGGCGCATGCACGGGGCGGCCGGCCGCACGGACGGCAGGCTGCTTGCTCGGCGGCGCGGGCTGGACCGGGGTGGGGATTCCTGTCTGGGGCCCCTGGGGCTCCTTTAAGGGCTCCTGGGTAAATTTAAAGGGGCCGCGCGCTATTTCCTCCTGGCAGCTCGCGGGGGGCTGGGGGGAAAGGCGGGAGGCCACGAGCCCAGCCGAGGCTCAGCAGCCGGCGCCCGCTCCGGACGCTAGGAGCACGGACCTCGCCGCCCCCGCGGGCCCGCACAGCCGCCTCCGGGGCTCCGGTCCCGGCTCCCGAAGGGTCACCGAGGTGGCGAGGGGCGCCCGCGTCCGCTGCGACGCGCTTCCACCCGGGCTCGGCTCGCGGCCACCGCCCCCTCGGGGCATCTCAGCGCCGGGACCGCCCGCGGGGGAGGCCGGGGTCCTTGCCGGGGGCTGCCTCCCGCCGCGCAAGCGGGTCGCGAGCTCGGTGCGGGCCCCGGAGCGGTCGCGACTGGCAGGGGCCCCAGATGGCTGCGGCCCCGCCGAGAGGGTGGAGCCGTGGGGGCGGCCGCGCCCCCTCCCGCGGGAGCCGCCCGGGAGCGCTGGGAACTCGGGCGTCTCATGGGAGGGGCGGACAGGCAAGCTCCCCCGAGCCGGCCCGGGGTGGGGGCGGCGGCCGCGGCGACTGGGGCCGGGGAGAGGGGCGCACGGCAGACCGCGGAGAGCCGGCGGCGCCGGGGCCCGACCCTGCGGGGCTGAGGTGGCCCCAGGATGGAAGCCGGGAGGAGAGGGCGTGCGCGGCGGTGACTCAGGATCCTGTCCCCGCAGGCCTGGGGGTGCCTGACGAGGCCCTTGACGCAGCCCCACACTCCCCGCCCGGCCCTGGGAAGCAAAGAATGCTGGCCCCGGGCGGGGTGTCGGGTACCTGGGGATGTGGGTTACCACGGCTGGTAAGCGCTGGGCGGACCCTGGCTGCGGGTCCCAGGGCGCCCCCCTGGCCCCCAGCTCTCGGGAAGCGGAGCGCAGGGACCGGGAGAGGCAGCCGGGGCGCAGCAGCCTGGGGTCCTCCTGCGAGGACAAGCGGGAGGAGCAGGTGCTCGTTTTGCCTGAGGTTGGGCGCCCACAACAAAGGCGATTCCTGGAGATCCAAATTACAGGGTGCGGGAGGCCTGCAGGGTCTTCTAGTCTGGAAGCGGGTTTTGTTCCCTTCACCGGGGAAGTACCCAGCGGCCGCCGATGGCAGTTGGTCCGCTCCTCACCACCTACTGTGTGACCGCATGCTTTCAGACGCTGGACACACAGCAGTGCACAAGACTGGCAGGACTGATCCTGCCTGTGACTCCTTTTCAGAGACACCCACAGCCTCTGTAAAGGAAACCGCTCCAGCCTTTCGGGAGCCATGGGAATTAAATCACTTGGAACACAGGAAACCTGTCCCCGAAGTGTTTGTGACGAGGAACTAAGATTTCTTAAGTGCCGCGGAGATGTCCCATTTCTTTCTCAGCCCCCATGATGACGTGCACGAGACTCCACCTTGGGTAAACTGAGTCTCCTTTTCTCATTTCTGCTGTCTTCGCGGCAGCCCTGCGCTGGGTGCTGAAGACGGGGGTTGCACTTCTCACCCACTTGGAGGCAGAGGCCCTGATGCTGATGGGTGCCACGCAGGGCCGAGAGATGGGGGATTCCTTCATTCATGATATCCCTCACATGTGCCAGGCCCGGAAACGCAAAGGGACAATGAGACAGAGACCTGGGCTTCACGCGCTTCTAAGTAGTATGGTTTGAAAAGAAAAGAAAGGGAAAAAAGCTAACAGAGCCTAATGTCCTGTAATGAAAGAATCCTGTTCTGGGGCCAGGGTCCTTGTGCTTTATTCTAGTTTAGTTGCTCAGTACACAGAGAACCAATGCGGAGGCCCAGCCCCTGTGTCACTCTGGCTTCTGTCCTTCCAGCGCTCTGTGTATAAAGAGGGTAATGTTATTACCAAAATCAAGGTATCAAAGCCACCCGGAGCCATTTTCAACAACCTCCCACCCACATTCTGCAGGACCTCTGGAACGGCTGCAAGCTCCGCGATTCTGAAAGTTTCTCACTCACTACTTGATCCCGCAGCAGCCCCGTGAAGCTGGAACTTTGTCGTCGGGATGAAGAAATGGGGATGCAGAGAGTCAAGAGCTTTGCCCAAGGCCATTCATTTATTACGCACTTCTTTTCTTGTTCAGAAAGCAGTCTGTTGAGAACCGGGCTGGGGGTGCAGAGACTTAAAAATAACATAATGCAGTGGCGGGGGGACCCCCAACCCCACTGGGGGAAAGGAAACCAATGGCAGTCAGTCAGGGCCACATGCCAACTTTCTCAGGCCTTAGGTGCTTTTGTCTTCATGGGGTGTCTTCCTCTATTTAAAAAATTAAAATTTAATTCAGTAGATTTTCATGGACACCATGCATTTTTTTTAATGTAAGAAAAAACACGCCTTCTTTGACTCTTAAATTTTTTAATCTAATTTTAAAATAAAACATTTTCATGAGCCCCTATAAGTACCTTGCACTCTAGGCACCAGTGCCTCCGGTGCCCTGGGTCCCCAGCACTGATTGCAATAGAGGGTGATAAGAACCAAGGCAGAGGGAAGCTCAGGGAGAGTCACCGAACCTGGAAAGACTTCCGAGGGAGGGCATTGTTTAAACCAAGACTCCAAAGACCAGGAGGTATTGCCAGGAGGAGAAAGGAAATAAAGCTTTCCTGGCAGGGGCTGGGGAAACTCTGGGTGAAGGAGGGTTTCAGGTGGGAGAGGCAGAAGAGGAAATAGAAATTAGCAGGCACTAAAGCTTTAGGTACCACATGGAGAGTCTGAGTTTGTTCTGAAGGCACTGGGAATGCTCAGAATTGTGGACAATTATGGAGGCAGCTGGGAGAACCCTGAGAGGGACAGCAACAAAGACCCAGGTCAAGGCAGCAGCCCCAGGGCCGATGGAGAGGAGGCAAAAGATTTGAGCAGAGCCACAGCACATCATGGTGTAAACTTCACTGCACAGAGTAGGAAGGGAAGGAGAAGGCGGTAGCAAGTGGAGGATGAATAGCAGCAGACCCAGGAAAAAGGATACTTCTCACCGAGGGGCTATTTCTTAGCTAAGTGACATACCTAAAAGTTGCTTATACCAGGCCGGGCATGGTGGCTCACGCCTGTAATCCCAACACTTTGGGAGGCTGAGGTGGGTAGATCATGAGGTCAGGAGTTCAAGAGCAGCCTAGCCAAGATGGTGAAACCCCGTCTCTACTAAAAATACAAAAATTAGCTGGGCAAGGTGGCAGGGCGCCTGTAATCCCAGCTGAGCCAAAGAATTGCTTGAACCCGGGAGGCGCAGAGGTTGCAGTGAGCCGAGATCGCGCCATCGCTCCACTGCATTCCAACTTGGGCAACAGAGCAAGACTCCATCTCAAAAAAAATGAAGTTGCTTATGCCTGGGGCAGGTTTGGGGAGCGCTGAGCAGTAGCAGTGGTTCTAGCTTGAGCCATATTAAGAAGATAGAATTACAGGAGGTGGTGCCTGCTTGAAAGTGATGATCCAAGAAAGGCCCTGCCAACTCCCAAGTATCCGGATTGAGAGAACGGGGATATAAAAAGAAAATCGATTTGGAAGTAGAAAATGAGGTCACAGGCCAGGCGAGGTGGCTCACACCTGGAATCCTAGCATTTTGGGAGGCTGAGGTGGGTGGATCACCTAAGTCAGGAGTTCAAGATCAGCCTGACCAACACAGTAAAATCCCATCTCTAACTAAAAACAGAAAAATTAGCTGAGCATGGTGGCACGGGCCTGTAGTTCCAGCTACTCAGGAGGTGGAGGCAGGAGAATCGCTTGAACCCGGGAGGTGGAGGTTGCAGTGAGCCAAGATCGAGCCATTGTACTCCAGCCTGGGTGACAAGAGTGAAACCCCATCTCAAAAAAATAAAAGAAAATGAGGTCACAACCTGGGAACTTTGGAGCCCACTTCAAACCCAGAACTCCCGACTTTTACACCTTATCTCTTCCATTCTCTACCTCAGATTCCCCTTAGTTCCCTGTCTGGTGTCTCTGGCCAGCCCTAGGACTTCCTGAGGTTGTCGGTCCCAGCATACAAGGGCCAGAGTCCCCCAGGGGGGCAGCCTCCTCCTAGTGCTTCAGTGGCTCCTTAGGCAGTCCCATTAAAGGAAGGGTCGCTGACAACACAAATGGAGGAACTGTGAATTGTGCTCCCCAAGGAAGGTTTTTGTTGTTGTTCGTTTTTCTGTCGCCCAGGCTGGAGTGCAGTGGCATGATCTTATGTCACTGCAATCTCCACCTCCGATTTTCAAGCGATTCTCCTGCCTCAGTGTTTTGAGCAGCTAGGATTATAGGCAAGTGCCACCACACCTGCCTAATTTTTGTATTTTTAGTAAAGACAGGGTTTCACCTTATTGGCCAGGATGGTCTCGATCTCTTGACCTTATGATCTGCTGGCCGCGGCCTCCCAAAGTGCTGGGATTACAGGCATCAGCCACCATGCTCAGCCCCAAAGGAAGGTTTTTAAGGAAGTAAATACATTTATCTCCCTAGACCCAAATTTGTGACAAATTCTGTATTCTACTTTTCAGGATGTCTCGGAACATCCTGAAAATGAAATGCTGTTTCTAAAAGTAGCCCTTCAACATTCTCCAGAGAGCAGACCCAAACTTTTTCAAAGAACTAAGATCAGTCATATAGGCTATAATGTTAAAGGGGCTTTCTATGTAGACTGTAAGTTAAATCATCCCTTGTAAAATCCCAAAAGAATTTCACACCTAAAGGTTATATCCAGGTCTAAGCCAAAACATTGAGCTTTAAATGTATATGCGTTGGGGGGAGAAAGTATGGAATTTAATTTAAATTTCTTTTTTTTTTTTTTTTTTTTTTTTTGAGACGGAGTTTCGCTCTTGTTACCCAGGCTGGAGTGCAATGGCGCGATCTTGGCTCACCGCAACCTCCGCCTCCTGGGTTCAGGCAATTCTCCTGCCTCAGCCTCCTGAGTAGCTGGGATTACAGGCACATGCCACTATGCCCAGCTGATTTTTTGTATTTTTAGTAGAGACGGGGTTTCACCATGTTGACCAGGATGGTCTCAATCTCTTGACCTCGTGATCCACCTGTCTCGGCCTCCCAAAGTGCTGGGATTACAGGCGTGAGCCACCGTGCCCGGCGGGAATTTAATTTAATTATTATTATTATTTATTTATTTTTTTTTTTTTTTTTTTGAGACAGAGTTTCGCTCTTGTTACCCAGGCTGGAGTGCAATGGCACGATCTCGGCTCACCGCAACCTCCGCCTCCTGGGTTCAGGCAATTCTCCTGCCTCAGCCTCCCGAGTAGCTGGGATTACAGGCACGGGCCACCATGCCCAGCTCATTTTTTGTATTTTTAGTAGAGACGGGGTTTCACTATGTCGACCGGGTCTCGATCTCTCGACCTCGTGATCCACCCGCCTCGGCCTCCCAAAGTGCTAGGATTACAGGCTTGAGCCACCGCGCCCGGCCGATTATTATTATTATTATTATTTTTTTTTTTTTTTGAGAT